TCAGCTTCCTAGAAGAGGCAACCCAGAGTCAATAAAGCAACGTATGTTTGTCCTTGTGCAGGGCCTCCATGAGTCACCATCCAGGTTGTTCACTGTACAAGGTGTCCAGCTGAGGAAGAGGTGGAGATTACAATCTAGCTCTCTCTTACTAGCCAACAATGAGATCTGTTGTCTACCCAGAGGGAAAAGACAGACTTTTCTAGTTTAGAGAAAGGCATCATTTGGGCTGGCATTAGCTCTACAACTAACCATTTTGTGACGATCTTTCAAGTAGGTATCTCATTTGTTGTTCTTGGCAACCACAGCAGTATGGAAAAGGATGGACACACACCCAGGGAAGTTAAATGGCTTGTGTGGGATCCCAAGGCGATGGAAAATGCCACAACCAGAATCCCTGCTCTCCATCTTCTTCTCTCCATCTCACTGACCATGATTTCTGAAGACTTATCTCCAGAGAGTCAGAGTCCAGCTCCTTGATGATGGAACTAGCTTTGATTCTGATCATTGCCTCAGTGGAGGATCCAGCGTAGGCGGTGCAGGGAGTGGAGTATGCTAACGCAGCGGGTCCCTTGCCCCGCCACACATCTCACCGCAGCTAATGAATTGCTAATACAATTTTCTAGATAATTTTATTTCCATAGCCCCACATTTTAATGTGTTTCCAAAAGCTAGCATTTATTTGCTTAATCTCCCAGTGTAATAGAATCGGCCCTGACTCATCATACATGCAAACAATCAGCTAGGCAGAAACGACAGCAAATTGTTTAATAACTCACATCTAGTCTTTAGATTTTTAACTTGCACGCTCCAATGGTTTTTCTTGCGTCTCATCCACTCCTCAACCCTTCCCTGATTTTCTTTTTTTTAAAGTCCTTTTCTTTGACTGTGAATGTTGGTTTTCAAACAGAAGAGTGGGGAAGGTAGGCACAGAACCTCTAAACCCTCTTCCCACCCCTCGCACTGAGTCTTGGTTGGTGGATAAGCGGCCAAGGAGGGATCTGGTGCCTGTGTGAGGTCCCAGGAAGGAGAGAGAGAGACAGCTGGGTTCATAGTATCTCTTTTTAACTGAAAGTCATGGAACCTTAAGCCTGTCAGCAGTGTGCAGAGCTGGTCATTGGACCTATCATGGGTACTACTTTTCCCAAATAGAGTCCAGTTCCTATCAGGCCGTTCTCTTCCTGTCTACAAAACCGCTGGCCTCATCTGAACGCCACCTTCTTCCTGTAGTAACACAAAAGCTATTAACTCTCTTCCTGCTTTCAGCCATATGGGACCACACCTTGGCTGCCTAGAGAGACACTGCCCACCAGGCTGTTGGACACTTGTTTTCATTCAGTTTGAGTTGCTGTAACATGTCCTGAAGGCTGGGCAGTCTGAGATAGGGATCCCAGCATGACTGGGTTCCCAGGAGGCCCCTCTTCCTAGTTGTAGACTCCAGACTTCTGACTGTGTCCCGTGTTCTGACTATGAAATAGGATCCTTTTTTATAAGGGCACTAATCTTGTTGAGGAAGGATCCACCCTTGTAATCAAAAACTTTGCAAAGCCCCCACCTGCTAATATCATCACTGGGAGGATAGCAATTGTAACATACCCATATTTGGAGGGGGGCACAAATGTCTAGACCTTTGCCATCCTCCAGTCCTTCTAGGGTCATGTTTTGCCCATAGGATGGCATCCGTGCTGTCCCTCCTGGTACATGTGGTGATCTGACCACCCCAGTTTTCATGGCTTCTCTCCATCCTCTGTGATGCCTGCTCTGAAATCCATCTGGAGTGTTTCCTTAGCCAGGGATGGGTGCCTCATATTCTACCTTGGCTTCTCAGATGTACTCCATTTCTCAGAGCAGAACTCCAAATCTCCTTGGAGGCTCTTGCAGAGTCACTCTGGTCTCATCCATGCTCTGGGTGGTATTTCTGGACCGGTGCCCTCCACCTCCAGGATTGATGTCCAAAATTCTCTGCTCCATCTCAGCCTCTTGGTGGTCACTTGGCATTGGGGTTACACAGAGCAAGTTCAGGTCATTCTGTGAGATGGAGGTGACCCACTAGGGCAGCCTCCAAACATCTTAGGAACAGCAAAGGGACAAAATGCCACAGGAGACTCAGTCTTCTCTGCTAGGTGGTGCCTTTCCAGGTGTCCTCCTGGGGTGCCATTCAATTCATCCTCTTATTCCATGCTGGGGATCTCAGAATAAGAGTAAGAAGTCTTGGCTGGTACAAGGCCTGGCTGTTGAGGAAGTGTGCTCCCTCAGACTGATTTGAGGCAGCTGTTTGAACACCTGGCCTAATTGGGGCTTTCTGTGGGGTAGAGTCCAGGGTACAGAGGGTGCAGGTGCTGGGAACCCTCAGCTTGAAGAAGCTGGGACTGATGTGCTGTGTGTTAGAAATTGTTGTGGGTGGACTCTCCTTTTGTTTACCAGGCTTGACAGGACACTGAAGGACTCAGTGTCAGTCCTCGAAGCAGCTTCTGCCTGCATGTCTTCCTCCAATCAGGCAATGGGGCTGAGGACTTGGGATCTCTCCCTGAGATCTTACTGCTGGGCTCAGGCTTGGGAGGCTTCACCAGTGTGCTCTGGCCAGCCTGTGTCTGTACTTCTGGACTATTGCTGGAGTGATCCCCGCATGCTTTGGTGTTTGCTCCTTATTGCCTTGACCACATCTCTTCTGGAGGAAGCTCAGACAGATGGGTGCTTCTAGCCCAGAGGTAAAATGGGCTTCAGAGGCTAGGGAGGTGTGGACCAGTGGGTAAAGTTCTGGGCAAGCGTGAGGACCTGCATTTGAATGCCCAGCACCCACATAACAGCTAGGCTGTGTGTGTCTGTAATCCCGACACAGGTAGTGGGGACAGGCCAGCCTCGTGACTCAATGGCCGTCTAGCCTAGCCAAAACTGTTCAGTGAAAAATCCTGCCTAAATGAAATAGATGGTGAGGAATCCTGATGACAACCTATGACCTCCAAATGCCCTGACACACACACACACACACACACACACACACTAAAAAAATAAAAATAAGGGGGGGATCTGATCAGTGATTTCTGGAATCAGACCAAGACATTTCTAAATTCCTGGTTCTGCCTCTTTCTTCCTGTAAGGATGCAAGTTTTAAGTGAGTTGACTGCACAGATAGCACACCTAGCTAAAAGGACCCTCATTGTCTCTCCTTCCATTCTGCTCCTGGAGCTTTGGAGGACATTTTCTTCCCCCATGCAACCCTCCTAGATACTGATAGATGAAGCATGGCCGCAGGTACCTAGACTTCAGTGTCTGCAAAGAGAGGGGCAGCAGGTAATTATGAGAAGAGAGAGGATGGTGATGAGTGGTGGTCCCTGCCTTTATTCCAAACTGAACCATGTATGATCCTGAGGAAGCAAGAAGCAGCCTTCCCATTTGCCCTTGCCATTTCCAGTCAGGGAAGCAGCAAGGCTCTTTGTTGTCCCTTCCCTTCCTCCCTCACCTGCCTCTGGAAGCTTCCTCATGTCCCGCTAAGCAACCCACAACTTTCAGTAGCCCAAGTGCTCTGACACGCCCTCCATTTGGACTAGACTGATAGATCTTTTCGGTTTGTGTCCCTCACATGAGGGACAGCAGTGTGCACTAACACACAGGCCATGCTGCCCAGACACTGGCAGAGAGACAAGCAGATGACTCTTATCAGGAGTGGATGTTCTTGGGGAGATGAGACCCAAAGTGGCAGACAAGGAGCTATGAGGCGAGACTCAGCTGGAAGGCGACTTCAGGGAGGGGTTGATGAACAGAAAATAGCAATCTGCCTCAGTGGGGTTCAGTGGGGCCCCTGGGCTCCTGGGTCAGCCAGCCGAGTGGCAGAACAGAACTGAACAAATATCCCTTGTGACTCGTTAGTGTCAAATCCTTTGACAACTTCCCATTGGTCTTGTGATGAAACCCAGAGCTTGTAGTGTGGCTGGTTGGGACCCCACAAAATCTGGCTTCCAGGCTCCTCTTTATCCCCCTTCTCACCTCCTCCCTGTTTCCACAGTTAGAACTTGTCATCCTGCTCTCCCTGGTTTTGCCGTCCCTACTTGTTCCATTCTCCATTCCATCCTCTTGCATGTTCTCTTGGTGCGCTGTGTGCTGGGTGGTACTGAGCTGAGAGCAGGAATGCCAGTATGCATTTCCATCGCCACATCCCCAGAACCTCAAAGAGAGCCTTCCTTGTAGAAAGCATCACAGCACTATTTGTGGAACGAAGTGACTCCCAAGATTCCTGATTTCCTAAATGGGAAAGTGGTTATGAGAATGTGTCCAGCGGGCGGTGGTAGCACACCTTTAGTCACAGCACTCGGGAGGCAGAGGCAGGAGGATCTGAGTTCAAGGCCAGCCTGGTCTACAAAGCTAGTTCCAGGACAGCCAGGGCTGCACAGAGAAACCTTGTCTTTGAAAAAGAAAACAAAAAGAAAGGAGGGATGGAGGGAGGGAGGGAGGCAGAGAGAAAGAAGAAAAAAGAATGTGGTCTACAGCTATCCTCAGGGAATGAAGGAATGAATGAATCCCTCTGCTGCTCCCAACTGCGAATTCTTTGGAGACTGGAATGAGTTAGTCTACTGTGCTTCCCTCTCCTCAGATGAAGTTTGTGGTTTTAAGAGAGTTATGTTAACAACAATGGCCAGCCCGTATGATCCAGGTAATTGTTGGTTTTCACAGGTTCTACCCCATCTTCCCACCTCTGCCTCAGATACTGTAAATTCCCTGTGATTACAGGCACCCAGTCACCCACCTTCTCCTACGCTCGACTCAAGACACTTGTAGAAATGCGTTTGGCCATCTGTGTGGTTTTGGGTCTTTCTCCACTAATCTTTAGGTCTCATGGATGCTGGACACCTGTTGACATTTTTTCTCTGGAGCTATATTCGGGGTGCTCAGTCAACATTGCCTGGCCTGTGCTAACCTTGACTTTGAGTTAGATTTCACCTTCAGGGATGAAAATCTGGCCTTGGGTCTCTGCCTTGCTGAGGCTTTCCCATTACTGTCTCCCACAGGCACGGACATGGCTGTCTTCTGTCTACTGTGTGGGAAGCGCTTCCAGGCACAGAGCGCACTCCAACAGCACATGGAGGTCCACGCAGGCGTGCGTAGCTATATTTGCAGTGAGTGCAACCGCACCTTCCCCAGCCACACTGCTCTCAAACGCCACCTTCGCTCACACACAGGTAGGCTGGTCCCGTGGGGGGTGCAACTCTAGGCCTTTATCTGGGCTTAACCTCCAAAATGGTGTGTGTGTGTCTGGGGGAGTTCCAGGTTGAGGCATTTACAACCTTTCTCTGCTTGACGTTGGATGCAGAAGGGCTCCATAGATAGCATTGAAATGGTGACAGTTCTCCCAACCCACCCCCGCACCTGTAGACAGTCAGTCTGTTTCAGGCTTTCCACACACAGCACAAAAAATATTCATTAAAAAAAACAACTACTCTCAGAAACTTTGATTTAGTGGTCCAGGGTGGGCTCTGGATCTCAACACCACTAATAAGTATTCTCAAGGGATTCTGATGCAGAGGGTACCAGAGTGCATTTTGAGAAAACTGGCCTAACTCTATTATAGTCCCACCACTTCCTCAATCCATCCAAGAATAGCACTGAAGTCAGCTCAGGGCACCAGAGGGCACACTGAAGAACTCATCCCACCTTCACAACAGAGACAGGGGGCCTCTACTTGGGCCTTAATGTTGTCTAGGGAAGACAATGAGAGTATTTGAACAACAAGCCATGAGATAGCCCTGCTCAGCCAGTTCACGCAATAGGATGAAAGACAGGGTATGTGTGAGTCAAGTATGCAGGGCTAGTTGCCCAGTCCTAGCCTATCCCTGCCACCACCCTCTAGCTTTAGGGGATAGGACATTCAGTGTCAGGAGGCCTTGAAGGAACCCTTGGTCTTTTCCTAGCAGAGGAATAGATGACTTAATTCCTTTCTTTGCCCTAAAGTAAAATGAGATCATCTCTTACTGTCCCTGGGTGAAAGAATGCCACTTTCTGAATCATGTGTCTGCGTGTATGTTCCTGATCTGTTTTTTTGGGAGAGCTGGGATTAAATCTCTGTGTAAGGATGTAGCAGGGTGCATACACAGGCCTGCTAGGGAGGACATGAGTGCCCCTCATGCTTCACGGAGGGTTGGAAGAATCTCATTCTTTAGAGCCTTTTCATAGTTCAGGGGTAGGGTGTGTGGCTGGTCCTCACATGGGTGACAGGCTCTGATGAGTAAGGAAGTTTTACTCTCAGAGCTAGACTATCCTGCCAGTTGTAGGCATTCTCACCAAGGAGCCTGCCTTCACTCTAGGTTCTGGATAGCATCCTGGTTAGAGGAGCACAGTGTCATACCATTACCAAGTATGAATGGCCTACACGATGCTAAGGCTAATCAGTAGAAAGGAGGAGGTCTTAACTAGTAATGTCCAGCAAAAGGAACCAAGGAGAAATGGGTATATGCTCAATGAATTTCTCTACAGTATCTGCGTAAGAGTCTCCATGTAAGATGTATACACCATCCCATCAATGTCTTCCTCAGCAGGTCCCTAAGTTCACTCTTAGGGAAGATGGCTAGCCTCCTTTAGCCACTTCTAGGTATGCTACTGGGTCAAGTTACTTGACTTCACATGACATGATGATTCAGGCCCTACTGAGCCACCCAGCATGAAACTTATTTTGCCCATGCCACCTTCTCAGAATTCAGTTAGCCCATGTCATTCCTGCTCCACCCCAGCAAGGACAGAGTTTGGGAGAAACCCTTGCTTATTCTAGAAACACAGACCTGTGTGCCCCTTGCGCACACACATTCAAGCACCCATTGATTTCACACCAGCCCAGCCCAGGCCCTGCACACCCCCAGCACAATGCCTCATTAATATTCTGTTGTTCTTGGCCCATTTGCTGCTGGGGCCGGTGTTTAGCATCAGCAGCTGTGTTTGGTACGTTAGTCCAGCCGTGCTCTTGGCATTGATGGATCCTTGATTCACATGGCTCATCATATAATAAACTCTCAGCTGCACTGAAGGGAGGGGCCAAGAGAAAGGGATCCAAGGGGCCCCGGGACTGGAACCAGGGTGGGAAGGTTGACACTGGGCTTGGCCAGAGGTAAGAAAGCCACTAGGTAATGGCAAACTGGGCAAGAAGAAGGGTCACAGGTGCCTTGGGCAGGCCAGAGGGGCTCTAATTAGTCTCGTTTGTCCTGCACTTAATGTCAAGCTCATTAACGCGTCTACAGAGTTAATCAACATACCACAAATTGGATTTTGACTTCTGTCGCCCGTTTTATGTACATTATGGCCAGTCTGACACGATTAGCTCTCAGGGTGAGGGTTGTAGGTCTGGTGGCCATTGAGCTGTAAAACCTGGGTGGGAGGTCAGGGTGGGTATGAGTCTTGGTGACTTGTCATTTTTTTTTTCTTTCATTCTCTGAATGTGTTTTATTCTTTCCCCGGGCAGACTCAAGAGAGTTCCTATTTAAACTCATTTAACATGTGATCCAGTTCGTAATTAAATTCATAAAAATCTGGTCAAACAAACCCCTCTGCTGTTTGTTAAACTCTTAGGGCCCCCCTCTGGAAGCAAAAGGCACTTCCCTCGCTGTGGCCCCTTCTTCTTAGGCTGGAGGGGAGGGCTGGGTGACTGCCGATGTACGTTTTAATTACCAGCTTCGGCTGAAGTCTCATGTGGCCCTTGCTTTATTTATTTATTTATATCTTAATGAGGATACTGAATCTTTGATTAAAGTCGTAATCGTTGCCGATTCAGGAAGGAGGGGGAGGGGGATGTCAGGCCAGACGGGGCCGCGTGTGCAGACAGACAGAGAAAGAGGGAGGGAGGGGGAGGGGGAGGGAGAAGGAGGGAGAAGGGGAGAGAGGGAGAGACAGACAGACAGACAGACAGACAGACAGACACAAACTGCCCCTGCTCCACTATGGTAGACCCACAGCCGATTAGTACCTGTGTCAGTGAGGGCTAGCCTCTTGGCTGGGAACAGGAGGCCCTCGGTATAGTGCTAGGGTTGGTTTCCCCAGTCCAGAACTCCAGGACCCAGTCCATCTCCAGATCACTGGCCATGGAAGTTCTGACCCGGGACAGTGCCCCAGAGATGGAGAGGGATGGATAGAAGAGGTGGTTCTTTGGCTTCTTAATGGATCCACACACACTCCCTATGCCCTCGGTGCTTTTTGTACATTTCACCCTGTGAGGGAGTTGGTCAGTGAACGGACCCCCCCAACAACCATGCCCCACAGAGTCTCAGAAACCGTTCCGAGCCATCAGAGGAGGTGAGAATTTATGTGGGTGCAGGGGCCTGCATTCAGGAAGAGGGATGTTTGGTTAGCGGCCCACGGAGGGGAGACGGCAGAGAGAGTAAAATATCATTTTAAAGAGGGAGTGAAGGCACAGGCATGCGAGTCTATAAGGAGAAGGACAATTTATGCCCAGGCACGAGCACAGTTTGACATGGGGATAATGAAAAAACGTAGGTCATTGTGGATGACTTAAGCCTTCAGCAGCTGAAGAGAATGTATGAAATGCAGAGGACATTACACGGTTGGCAGCCTCGCACATCTGCAGAGGAACAAGTAAAATGCAGTGGGCCATTCTTTACCATAAACTGTGGTTGTTGGAGATGCAGCCCAGAGAAATTGTAATTACAGTGACAAGACGAATCAGTGATATTTAAATATTCATGAACAAAGTCTGGGGTGATCAATCTATCTTTATTGTCTGTGCCTTCACTCCTGTAATAAATAAGTAGCTCAAGTCCTCACCTTTCATCCCCCAAGCTTGACACCTCGGTTACAAAAATGCAAGGTGGTTAACCCCACTCCCTACCCTCCTTTGGGGCCACAGGGATTGGAGGGTGGAGTGTCCAGGAGAAGAAAATTAAACTAATGGACATGATTCTAGACTGAGGAAGGGCTGGTCTTCCCAGCCCGATACCCAGAATTCTCCAAGAGTTGGTTCTAAATCATTCCTGGGCAAGCCCTGAGGGTGGAAAACACTTCTTGGTGGCTCTGTTAGTCAATACAGTGCAATGTGTCACTTAGCAATGGGACCAGACCAGAGCCAAAGTTCCAATCTATCTGCTTCCAGCTAGGTGACCTTGGGGCAGTGGTCAAGTATCTCTAAGCAACTCTTCCCCCTCCCCCCATTTGTGAGATAAGCACATCCTTCATCAGATAGTTTCCATGGACATTTCAGTGAAGTCTTCAGCATAGCAGTAAGAATATGCCAAATGTGGGCAACGTAAATGGGAAAGAATTCTTTTAAAAAATCGTATTTCTGCTGGGCATTGGTGGCACAAGCCTTTAATCCCAGCACTCGGGAGGCAGAGGCAGGTGGATCTCTGTGAGTTCAAGGCCAGGACAGTCTCCAAAACAATACAGAGAAACCCTATCTGGAAAAAAACAAAAAAAATCGTATTTCTATGAATAAAAGACTGAAAGTGCTCAGTATGCTTCTCTTTGGGGACAGAGAAGGAAATACAGCTTAGTCTGCCTGAGGGACTAAAGGGAGGCACCCAAATGGAGTTGATGGATGAGCCGTGCTTTGAAGGACGGCTAGGGGTTCGCCAGGGAAAGCAGTAGGGATAAAGCAGAGGGGTTGACAGTTTACTGGTGGAGTAGCAGAAGAGCAGATGACATTCGGGAAGCAAAGAGAAGCCCCCTGAGTTGGAGGGGTATTTCTGAGGGTGGGGAAGCTAGGCTGGAGTGGCCCCTGGCCCCAAACCAGAGGAAAGGGAGAAGAGGTAGTGTAAGGCAAGGTCTCAAAGCCCGGCTCTGTTCCACCCTCACAGGACGCTGCTTCCTGACCGTTGCTGCTCTTTGCTGAGCCAAGCAGGCTTTCTCTTTCTGGGTCTGGCCATCATCCCATGGATGGCTTTGGGGACATAGTAAAATCTGGGTGAGAACACAGGAACCGCGCTGTTCATGTTGTGGGGACCGGTCAGGTCACCTTTGAAGGTGGCGAACATAGGCAGTCTCGGGACACCCAATGTGCCCTGCTGCCCCTGAAACAGCGGCAGGAGGAAGCAGGGGTCTGATTGAGCCCCTTGCCCTTACAGGTGACCACCCGTACGAGTGTGAGTTCTGTGGCAGCTGCTTCCGGGATGAGAGCACACTCAAGAACCACAAGCGCATCCACACGGGGGAGAAGCCCTACGAGTGCAACGGCTGCGGCAAGAAGTTCAGCCTCAAGCACCAGCTGGAGACGCACTACAGGGTTCACACGGGTACCGAGGACGGGACGGGCCCCGGGCGGCCCCGGGACCCGGGTAGTGACTGGGAGCGGGTGGTCCAGAGGAGAAGCCCAAGTAAACACGGTTCAAGGTTCAACCAGAGAGAAAAGGGATGATGTGGAGACTGGAGAGACGAGCTAGCTCGGTGGTGTTCTTCCAGGGGACCAGAATTCGTTTCCCAGCATCCTCTTCTGGCCTCAGAGGGCGCCACATTTGCGCGCGCGCGCGCGCGCACACACACACACACACACACACACACACACACACACACACACACACACACAAGAGAATACTTTAAAAAGAGACAGAGAGAGGTAATATGGTGGCCTGAGTACCACGACCTTCCTCTTAAGGCCAACGAAGTCGTCACTAATCAGGTGTTGCAGATATTGATAACTAATTACAGCACATGTCTCATGGGTTCCGTCAGTCCCCTGAAGCAATCACAACAACAACAACAAAATCATCCAGGAATGCTAGAGGCAATATGGTACTTATTCCAAATCCTAAATTAAGGTTAAGTTGGTCAGATTAGTGAAAAGTGAAGTTTGAGTGGTTCCATTTTGCTCCATTGATGGTTGGAGGCAGAATCAGGGGGCATTAAGTTATGATAAGGGTCAGGAAATCGTGGTATTGGTTCTGGTATGTCCTGAAAAGAAAGGAGCCAGTGCATTTAATAGGAGACTGTCTCATCATGTCCGAGTGCTTCCACATTCCTTCTTACACAGGAGAAATGTGTGTCTCTGTTTTTGCTGGGGTCTCAGAACAGACAGGTAGAGAGGGTTTAGAGTCAGAGGCAATGGAGCCTAGAGCTGGCCTCTACTTAACTGGAAAACCTGTTATATTTCTTCCCCATTTCAAGTTCAGTGACATCACCTTGGTTGCTTAAAATGGGTCCCAGTGGGAGTATTGACCGCATAGCAATAGAGCTGTGTGTCTTTGGAGAGCTGGCTGTTAAGTACCCACCCCCTGCAGTCTGCCAGCTGCAGGGAGGTAGCATTTTCTCTAAGGCTGACCAGTGAAACAGAGTCAAGGGAGATGCCCTTTCTGACTAGTAGGGACAGCACCCAGTCCAAAGGAGGGCATGGTGACCTCAGCTGGCTTAAGGGAGGGGCAGGTAACCAGCAGGAGTGGAAGACAGCTGTTCTCAGAACTCATTCTTCTTGCCTGAGTTCTGTTTTTCTTGCCTCTGGCTTAAAGTCACAGGAGGGGATGGGGTGTTCACTGCTGACAACACAAGTAACCCAAGGGATATCCCAGAGTCCCAGGGTTTCCCAGTCCCTTGTTGTGGGATGGGACCTAGTGGACAGATCATTAAGTGCATTGGCAGTGACTATTGTAAATAGCTGGTCGATAGTTAGATCACTTTGGCTGTTCATTACTTCATTATTTGCCGGGGCCTCAGCACGGAGGAGTATCGATAGCGAGATGGCTGACCAGTTAATTACTGTATTGAAACAAGGTTCCCTTACATCTCTGCTCAGCTCCAGGGGACTCTAGTGGAAGGGATAGTCTAGACTGCAGACTAGGGTGTCATCTACTCTCCTAGGTTCTCTGCCCCTCCCCACCAGCCCTAGAATAGGAGGTAAAGTTGTGGGGGTTGGTCCTTAGAGAGTCAATGTGTAGATGGCCCCCCAGATGTGATGTGTTTGAAGGATGGGATTTCTTGAATTTCCCCTACCCCTCCTTACCATCTGTAGTTCTAAAAGGACTCCACCCATCCTCCTGTTTCTTGTGGATGGGCTTTGCTATGACCAAGCATCCTGAAGGACTTCAGAGACCCACTACCCCTTTTCACAGTACACAGAGTCCTTAATTAGAAGGAAAGGCAAGGGGCGGAGCTCCATGGGAAGTTACTAGGTACCAGTGACTGGCCACATTATCCTATTTGCAATAGCCACAAAATGAAATAGAAGTGAAGTACCCCGATAGCCATACCTACAGCCCTGTGTGATCAGTGGCCGCCATATTGGATGGCCCAGCCGCTGTACTGGGAAGTTCTGTCGGAGACTGCAAGGCTAGGAGGATAGACATTCTCCAACATGCCCAAGGACAGCAACACCCATAAACCTTCTGTTCCTCACACTCCCCTGTCCTTTCTTGTCTCCTCCGTAGGTGAGAAGCCCTTCGAGTGCAAACTCTGCCACCAGCGCTCCCGAGACTACTCGGCCATGATCAAGCACCTGAGAACGCACAATGGAGCCTCTCCCTACCAGTGCACCATCTGCACGGAGTACTGCCCCAGCCTCTCCTCCATGCAGAAGCACATGAAGGGCCACAAGCCAGAGGAGATCCCGCCTGACTGGAGGATAGAGAAGACGTACCTCTACCTGTGTTATGTGTGAAGGGGGGACACCCCCACACACACACGGTAGAGCAGCGGTGGGAGCCTGCAAACCCAAGCTGGAGTGAGATAAAGTGGGAAGACTGCGGGGGGGAAAAAAGAAAAGGGAAATAGGAAAGAAAAGAGAGAGAGAGAAGGAGAAGGAAACTTGGTAGTTACTTGGCCTTGGAGTCCTTCTGGGGCTCCGGATGATGTGGCTGTCATACCACTGCCCCTTCCCTGGGGTCTCTGCCCTCCTTGGTTCTCTTGGGTGGGTGGGGTGGTTTGGCTCATTTACACAGTGGCATATTTTTCTCCTCTCCACAACCTAGACCTTCCTTTTGTGTACAGAAATGGAGACCAGGAAGGAGCAAGTGTGGGATCCTCTGGTCAGAGCCATCGCCTCTGCCCTCACTCCTTGCTTCCCCTCCTCTGAAGAGGGTGGGAGGGGAGCAGAGAGGGCAGCTGTAGGGGTGAGGGGTGGTGTCTCTGGCAGCTTGACTGGGAAGAGAAAAGCTTTCTGCTCTGCCAGCCATACCTGGTACCCCTCGTGGTCTCCCAGAGCCTGTGGCTCCTCTTACCCTTACACCTGCTTGATGGCTGTCCTCTGTTCACAAAGGGCTCACACCCTGTGTGGATCCGGGCTGTAGCTTCCTTAGGTCCCTCCTGGGAAAAGCTGTGTCAGATTCCAAAACCCCTTCCTTCCTTCCTTCCTTCCTTCCTTCCTTCCTTCCTTCCTTCCTTCCTTCCTTCCTTCCTTCCTTCCTTCCCTTAGCTTTCAGAGAACACAGAACAAAATAAAGCCTGCACTGTACCCTAGCCAAACCCCCTCATGAGCAAGATTCCTGCTGTTCTGCTTTCTACTTGCAAGAAGGGAAAGAAAACAAAAACCAACTAAATATATTCCATCCTGCCAAACAAGCGCACATGGCTGCAACCCCACTTCAGCCCCTAGAGGAGGGAAGGCAGTCATCCTATTGAAAGGTCCCATTGTCCAAGAGAAGGAGTGGATCCCCTCCTGCAGGTGAGCTTTACCTGCAGGCAGGAATGGATGCCCTACCTGAGCAGGGTGGGAGGGCTAGCCACCGGGAAAGTTGCTACCGCACTGAGGGTCCTTTAACCTCAGATCTGGAGATTAGCACCAAATCCCTGGCTCGGTCCTCTCAGCCCTCAGGGAACAGGGAGGAGGAGCTGATGGCGCTTTGGCCTCTTGTTATGTTTGCTTTTAGCACATTGTACTTGAATTACCTCAGTTTTTATTTTTTTGTGACCTCATGAGCTTTTCAGTGCCCTGTCTGTTTTTGCCCTTTGGTTAGAGGGGGTTATTGGAGGAATGGGGAAGGTGTACTTTTCTGTTCTAGCATAAGTTAATAGCTGGCTTTGAATTTGACCTGGTAGAGCCCCACCCCCACCCCCACCCCCGGAAGCTGTCAGTAAAAGTGGACCACTCAGGATCTGAATGGAAGGCCAGGAATGGGAATGGAAGGGATCGTGATTGTGCGGGTTCTCCCTGTCCCCACAGAGTTACCTATGAGTCACTCTTAGCACTGTCCAGGGCTCAGACCATCAGTGCCCAACTTTAGTCTGAGATACTCTAGAGAAAAGTCCCACTGGTCATAGAATTATCTGGCTGTTGTTAGGATCTATACAACCACATGGTCCCCCTGTGCTGTTAACCACTGCCAAAATTGGTTATATTTTCACGACTGGTATGCACATGAGGGGCCGACCAGCCTGATTTTGTTGTGCTGGGTGGGGCACTGTTTTTCTAAAAGCTACCTCTTGTGTTTGTCCAGTCTTTCGTTCCTTCTACAGCCCTGCCTCCGCCCACCCACCAGCCTCCCCACCCTGAATTTTGGAAAGCACATTTGCAATAATTCCTTCTGCTTTGGGTTGAACCTCCCTTCATTTCATGCTTTATGTATAAGATAATTGCTGTTTTCCTCCTCTTTTTTCTCTAAGAGAGTTGGAGCTGTGTTTTGATCTTAGGTTTTAAAAAGTGGTTTAGGGAAGCAGTTGGCAGGGATGAAGGCCTGTGAAGAATTAACAGAAAGTCCGAGGGATGGGCGCTGCTGTAACCACTTCCCCTGTCCCTCGGCCAGGCCCCCATCCCTCCAACCTCCCTTCAATATCATCCACCGTATCTGAAGGCCTTAAAAATTGGATGTTGGGAGGATGTGGGTTGGGGATGCTTGTCTCTCCAGTGTGAACTTGTGATGGTAAGGTATAGAGGGTGTTACTTTGGAACTATAGTTAGTGATGACTTAGTGCATTGGGAAGGTGAAAAGTTTAAACTTGAAATAGGTTACTGGAACAGTTGTCATGTTTATAATGTGAAAAGAGCATCTTTTTAGGAAAGAGCCTGTCTGTCTTCAAAAGTCATTATGCACTATGGCTCCCTCCCCCAGCTCAGGGGGGGTAAAGTGGGAACTGCTGACATTCAGGGGCTCTGTAAATCTCAGAAAACAGCATTTCTAGCAGTAAGATGTTATTCACAACCGGTGGTGAAGGGAAGAATATCCAACTATTCCATAGAACTGGCTGGTCCCTTGCTTTCCAGCCCTTCCCACTCTGCCCCTCCTGTCCCCTCCCCCACCTGTACCCCCCCCAATCATAAACGTTTGAGAGGGCTGAGCAGATCTTTGCAAACTGTAATGTTTTCATAGTATTTGTTAGTTCCTTCTTTAGTTCTGCAGGATCTTGCTCTTTCCTTTTGTAATGTGAATAGGAAAAAAAAGATTTAAAAAGAAAAAAAGTTTTAAAAAAGTTCACTGCCATCCACAGCAAAATATCCCTTTGTACGTATGCACGTGTGTGCATGAGTATATGTGCTTGTGTCGTGTGTGTGTGCTTGTGTCGCGCGCGCGCGCACGCGTGTGTGTGTGTGTGTGTGTGTGTGTGTGTGTGTCTGCAGGTGAAGTCATGCTGTGCTGTCTGTGCTGCTGTCTCAGTGTTGGCTGGTACTCACTCAGCACCTACCTGCCCTGTCTGTCCCTGAGGGCTCTGAGGATTCTAGCAGAGATGGGACAGCTTAGAAGGGACACTTTCCTTGTTTCCCTTGCAGCCCAGACCCCAAGATGCTCCAACAGGCCTCTCCCCCAGCTTCCCACTAACAAAGAGGAAATGTTTTTAAAGTTGCCAGGGCCCTTTCTGCTGGCTTCGATGGCCACCGGGCAGGTAGGGGGCTGTTGGGAGGCCTCTGGAGCACCTAGAGTTGGGGAGGCTGGAAGAGTAGTGGTACTTTCCCTCCCAGGGAAGCTGGAACTGGTTAATTCCACTCCTCTTGGAGCCTTGTGGTTTGTCACTCCTCTGCCTTTGGCTGTGTTCTGACAGAACCCCCGAAGTGCTGCTGCCTTATCCAGCTCTGTGACCTTCTCCCGCCTAGTAAATCCAAGCTGCTTACTGGTCCCTCCCTCCCCTTGCCCAGCTTCTACGAATGAATCCCTTAGTGCTTTTGGTGACATTGACCCTTCCCTCACGACTCCTTCCCTCCTCCTCTGCTCATTTGAAGCATTAAAATCCTATGTGTATATGGGATAGACAAATATATATATATATATAGAAAGAGAGATATAGCAAGAGATATAAAATAGAAAAATGTCATTGCTGCTCAGCTGCTTTACATGAAGAAGAGGAAGGCAGATCTGGGGTACAAGGGTGGGTCAGAAGGCTGGGGGAACCCAGTGATTAGTACAATCCAGGGATGCCACACGGGCTTATTTAAATCTTTGTGCCTGAACAGTTTTTTCATGTTGAGAAAAAAAAACTGCTGCGAGTTTTTACAAGTGTATGGTACGCTTCCAGATGCTATGGGTGCGGCCAGGATGAGAGGACCAGGGTCCCTTCTTAGAGGAGAGCAAGCAGGAAGCACTTTTGGTCTTGGGCCATGGGGGGTGGGGCAGTAGAGTGGATAGACTTTTGGCCAATCCCCTGGCAAGCCAGACTATGGTGGACACTGGGGACACAGACGTGTAAGACAGATGCATAAAAAGCTGGAGTTCTGTTGGTTTATTTTTTCCTTCTGCTTGTTTTGTCACCCCCTTGCATCCAGTCTCCTCTCCTGGAACTTCCGGCTTGGCTCCTGTGACTGCACTCACCTGGAGATGCCGGAAGGAGGACTGACAGCAGAACTAATGGGTGGAGGGGGACAAGATATGCCCAGAAGAAGGGTGTAGGACAAAGAGAATAGATGTGATCAGGGGAAAGGGTGAGGAGAAAGGAGTAAAAGCCCCAGCAAGCCTGCCGGCCAGCAGCTCTGCGTCCTCGGCTCCTGGGTGGCCCACTTTGCAGACAGGGTCCCCTCCTCCCCACATGTATCATAGTATTTGTTCACATAGTGTTATGCATGAATCCTTGTAAGGTGAAGAACCGTCATGATGCACCATGCCATCGCCCTATATATAAAGATAAATATATATATATATATGTATGTAAGTTATAGCACTGAGGGCCTTGTGGCCCTGCTGGACCAAGCAAAACTAAGCCTTTTGGTTTGGGTGTTATGTTTTGTTCTTTCTTTTTTTTTTTTTTTTTTGCTTGTCTGATGTTGTGAGAGCACAAGTGCCAGTCCAATTGCTTTGTATCACAGAATAGTGTTTTTTAATTCATCAATGTTCTAGTTAATGTCTACCTCAGCACCTCCTCTTAGCCTAATTCTAGGAGGTTGCCCAATTTTGTTTCTTCAATTTTATTGGTTCTTTTTGTTGTTGTACAAATCAATCTCCCCACCCTTGTCTCTTTCTCCTTCCTCTCCTCTCTCCCCTCACCCACCCTCTGCTTCCCTCAGATCCCCCTCCCCCTGTCAGCCCCATCTCTCCCTTCCCTCACCTCACTTCCCTCCAGCCCAGATTGCCAGTTCTTTCTGTCCACTCGGAGTACGCCCCCAATTGCCGCTTCTCCACACCTGCCTTCGTTCCGTGTAGATTGATGCGTTTCTTTGTAACTTCAGTGTTTCTGACAAGATTTAAAAGAAAAAAAATAAGGAAAAAAATGAATTTACTGCTGCAGGTTTTTTTCTCCATGTGTCACTAAGTGAAGTTTGTGCCTTCTATAGCAAAGAGAATATTTTTTACATCCTACTAACAGTAGATTTTTTTGTAGTGAACATTTTTTGTATTTTTATTTATAAGTCTCATAAGAAAAAATAGCGATGTTCAGTTGTATACCTTGAATCTGCAGTTAGAAGAGAATAAAGTAATTCAGTCATCTCTGGCTCCAAGTGTCCTTTTTAAAGATGCGCCCCCTCTTTTTTTCTGACTTGGGTGGGAACACAATGGAGGAACCTGAATTTCTGCATGGAGAGAAAGCTATGTGTTAACATTAAGTCTTGATTTTTTTTGCATTCTTAATATTTGGTGTGTCTGTGTGTGCATGCAGATATGGATACACACATGGACAGGTATGCATGGTGTGCATGTGGAGGTCAGAGAAACTTCTGGATGTCAGTTTTCTCCTTCCTTCCACCACATAGGTCCTGGGGAATCACACTCAGGTCCTTGGATGGCACCGTCCTTTGCCACTGAGCCATCCTGGCCACCCACATTCTTTTTACATGACACTCCAGTGCTACATTTATAAGCTATACACACCCATAGATCTAACACAGGCCTGGCAGCAAGTGTCTTTACTGGCACCCATTCTTGTCTCAAAATTTTTGCTGTATTTTATTACACACACATTTATTGTATGTCTGTATGCACATATGCCAAACACATGAGAGGAGGTCAGAAGAAACCTGTGAAAAGATTGAAGAATTACTTTGTGTATGAGTGTTTCATATGCATGTATGTATGTATGTATGTGCACCTTATATGGGTCTGGTGCCCTCTGAGGTGATAAAGGAGCCTCAGACCCCCTGAAAACAGGGTTAGAAATGGTTGTGAGCCTTTGTGTAGGTGCTGGGAATCGAACACGGGTCTTTAGCAAGAGCAACAAGTGCTCTTAACCACTTAGCCATCTGTCAATCCCAGAAAGCAACTTTGGGTGTCAAGTCTCTGTTTACCATGTGAGTCCTGGGAACTGGAATCGGGTCATCAGGCTTTGGCAGCAGGAGCCTTTGCCCCACCGAGCTCTCTTACCACCGGCCAGCATGTCTTTGGAGGATGGGGTTCAAGATGCATTTCAACGTGTGAGGTGACTGCTCAGGATCAGGAACTGGCACTTGGTGATCAAACCAAGATCAGATACCAAAACAGGCTGCTTTTCCCTGCCTCCAAAGGCAGAGTCTCCTGTCTTCCTCGACCTTAAGTACGCTTCAGAGTTGCCTCAACACAAAGCTTCCACTCGGTTGAAGGTCCGCCGTTCTGTTCTGTGGCAGCCAAGATCTGTTGCAAAGCTGGAGATTTTGCTCAGTGCTATGGTGCCTGCCTGACGTACAGAACCTGGGGGTTCTATCCCTTCCTCTGCTGCAGGTGGAAGCCCCACCCAGCTCATCTTCAGCCCTACACCCAGTTCTGCTCAACCCCTGGATGCATAAGCCCAGCATCTCAGTCTTCCTCCTCCAGCATCCCCTTCCCGCTGAGACCCAGGTGGTCAGATGGGACTCAGATCCTGGCCACCATACTGTGTCACCGCACGGCAGTGCTAACAGTGTGGAGCACCAACCTGGCCCACAGCTGGCTTCCAGTCACCAGTGTCCCTGCACTACCCCTGTCATGCAATTTAGAGAAAGTCTCTCTCTGTCTCTGTCTCTGCCTCTCCTCTGTCTTCCTGGCCCCATAACCCTAACCCTCCCAGGAAGAGGCCCAGCCCAGAACAGGCAGCCCCTACCCATCCCCAGAGTCTTTCTGCCCCTGCTGTCTTAGGCGTTCCTTCTCTTTCCCCTCATCTTCCACCCAGGTATGCTTCTTTTTCACCCCCTCCTTCGTTTCCTCCCGATCCCTCATTCTCTCAAGTCTAGATTTCTCTTGCCCTGTACCTTGGTCCCATGTCATGGTGTCCTGTCCGGCCCCCCCCCCCCAGTTTAGGAAAACAGCCCTTGGCCAAAGATGTATATGTTTTGATTGGGATCTGCTCCCCTCAACCCTTGTCCCTCTTGGCTAGCCCCCGCCCCTCCCCCTGCACCCCGCCCCTCCCTCAGGCCTCAGCTTTCTCTTGACAGATGGGAGGGCAGTGGGCACTCCCTCTTTAAAACAACATTTAATCGCCGTTTTCTGTTCTTGGACATCAAAGCTGGGGCTTAGGCGCTGCACTGGGGTCCTGGCGGCGCGGGCTCTGGGGGAGAGGAGGTGAGTGAATAGGGCCTGGCTGAATGGGCTTTGTGTGACTGCCGGGGTCTGCCTGCTTTACATGCTCTTTGACCCAGATATGATCTCATGGAGAGAAAGGGGCCCGGCCAGGCCAGCCTGAGAACGCCGAGGCCGGCCGCAACCCCCCTCCCTCCCTGGGCAGCGGGTCGGGTCGCAGCTGCCCTATGCCCCAGCCTGCAGCATGGGCAACCTCCTCCAGGGCAGGCCTTGCCTGGGGTGGGGGTGGGGTGGGGCACGAGGCTGAGGTCAGAAGAGGGGACAGGCAGCTGGCCTGGAGAGATACAGCCCCCAGGTTGGGTGGATAGCGATCTCACATGTGTTCTCTGGGGTGGTTGACTGGAAGTCCTCTACACGCACACGCGCGTGCGCGCGCACACACACAGGCATGCACACGCGCACACACACACACCTGTGCTATCCTTTCCTTTCCCTCTCACTACTGCCTAGGTTCTGGCACACCTGCGCTGGGTCTCTTTCCAGTAGCTCTGGATGCCCGCTCCCCCCAGCAGAGCTGAAGCCCATAGCTAACAGAAACCTGAAGTACCATGAAACTCTGGCAGGCACAACAAAACGTCTCCTCCATCCAATCAGCACACACCTATCCCTCCACCTGGCTTTCCACAGTCACACTCCCTTCCACCGGGCTGCCCCAGAGCCTCTGGTCCCAGAATCCGGAAGGGCATGTCTACCCATGCCTTCTGCACCCCCTCCCTCTTCCATCCTGTGCTTTGCCTGTGGAGGACCCAACACCCCCACCCCAGTGCAGTCCCTGGTGGTTCTTCATTACTCCTAGGATAGGGTCCAAGCTTCCCAGTGAGACCCTCAGTGGCAGTCCCTCCCTGGCACCCCAGTCTGTCCTCTAGATCCACCCCCGCCTTGCTATAGTCAACTTCATCACCAGGGTTAGGGGCTTGTACCCTGTGGTTTTGTTGTGTTGTTTCTGCCAGCCGAAAACAGCCCAGAGCAAGCTGCCTGGTCCTCTCAGCCTCCCCAAGTTCTTTCATCCCAAACACTACCTTTCTCAGGACACCTTTCCCAGATGCCTGAGACTGAATTCCGTGCCCTGTTACTCAGATCCTACCTTTGTCACAGTGCATTACAGTCACCTAAGCTCTCGGTTATCCGTATCTTCACACATCAACTTCCTTGAGGTTAGGAACCGTGTGTTCCGTATCTTGGTGTTTCTGGAACCTAACACTGCACTTGGCAGGTGCCCAATAAATCTTTGTTGAATGCACGGTTGGAAAAAAGATGAGGGGGAGAAGAGGGGCGATTCGCTGTCTGGAACCGAGGATGCAGTTGTCAACGGTGAGGGGAATGAGCTAAGTAGGGAGGAGCCCCTCGTGCCCATCTGGGAACCCCCCCCATGACATCAAGGACCAGTACGCATGCTAGGCGGGCTCAGTGTGGCCTCTTGTTGCCCTGCTCTTGTTCCTGTGTTTGTTCCTAAGGTCACCAGAAAGCAAGAAGGTGTGGCAAACTCAGGACAGTGGCTTTTCATAGCTGGGGACTACCTGGCTGGGACCTAACCAGGGAGGCCATCTTCTCATGCAGACACAAGTTCTTCACCCCATAGGGAGGCCCCAGCTCTCTCTAAGCTTCCAGGCCCAGAGCAGAAACTCTTCCACACTTCCGACTCCAGCCACTCCCCGCCCAGAGTGCCGACTCCCCTGGGTTGCTTCTTTTTTTTCTTCTTCTTTTTTTTGCGCCCCAGGAGTGCCTCGGTGAAAGTGAACTCACTCATTTAAACCTGACTCTGCAGCCCTGCAGCCCCCTGTAGAGCTAATTACCCCGTAGTTCCAAACTGATTGCTGTACACTAAGCTTAAGCCCTCCTTTATTTACTGACTACATTAATAGCAAAGGCAAGAGGTTTCAGCTGCTCCCGACTGTACACGGCCGGCTGTTCCCTGCTGCCCTTCTCCACACATGACAGAGCCCCCAAACGCTCCACCCTAACCCAATCCCCAAGGCCGGACTATAATGAGAAGTCACAGTTTTGCCCATAGCCTACTCCTGACACTCCGGGCTCCTTCTCTGTCTGGTTCTTGGGCAGTGGGAGAGACAACAGCCAGAGCTCACCAGCTGGAGGGGTGAGCGGGACAGCGGGGTGGGAACACGTTTCATTTACAGGACATGGTATAAAGAAGCTTCCATTCAGTCTCACAGCTCTTGGGAAGAGGTACTGGCCGCTGGCTTCCTTTCGCAGGGGAGCAAACAGAGGCTGTGACACTTTTCCTTTCTTTTTCCAGTGTGTCCTGTCAAGGGCTTAGCCTACTCTCCTTCCTCACTCTCCCAGAGTTGACAGTTGTCATTCTGTTGCCTGTTCCCACCCCTTGTCACCAGAAAGGAATTCCTCCACGAGTTGCATCAAACCCCACAGACTCTCAGTGTTTGCTGCCCCTTTCATGGCCTTGGCTAGAATTTGCTGGAAACCAGGGAACATTTCCAGGAGACATTCCAGGGCAGGTCTGAGTCTCACTATCCTGTTGACTCACACACCTGCAGAAGTGGAACATGGTGCCTTGCCTCTTTCCTGGTCTGCAGCTCAGGGGGCCACAGCTGTTCACAGTCACTGTCAGATTCTCAGATGCCCCCAGGCCTCAAGGCAATGCTGGGTCCTGGCCATGAGACACAGCAGCACTCTGAAAAGCCGAATGGCTCCAAGAGGCCCGAGGAAACTGGATCGCCTTGATCCAGACCAGCTTGGTGGCCGCCACACTGGGTACCTATGAGAAAATGGGACAGTTGGGGTTTGACAAGAAGAACCTAGAACTCAGAGTCAAAAGGACCCTGTGTTTCAAGCCAGCTCTGCCATGCGCCGTATGACTTTGACTGCGTGTAAAGGCTCTCCAGGGTCTTCTCTTTTCAACTGTGAGATGGGACAAGTTTTAGCCCATCTGCTCTCAGTGCAGTTATTATGTCAACTGGAGTAAGACACCCAGGTCAGTTTTCTAAA